CGCGCTGGGCCGCGGGCTGGGGCCGGGCCGGGGGCCGGCGGTGCTGGCCCGGGGGTGCTCGGCCAGGGGCCGGCACCCCAGGGCCTGAGCCGAGCCAGGCTGGAGACGCCGGGGCCGGCCGCCGGAGGGGGCCAGACTGGGCCGTGCCTCCTCCCCGCCCCCTTACCTGCTGCCTGCTTCCTGCTTCCCGCGAATCAAATGTTCGCGGGAAGCAGGGGAGGGGGCGGAGTTGGGGCGGGGACTTTGGGTTAGGGGGCGGAGTTGGGGCAGGGGGCAGGGCCGGGGCCCCGTGGAGTGTCCTCATTTGAGACACTCAAAATATGGTAACCCTAGCTAAACCCAGGGTTGTGAGTTCAATCCTTGAGGGGGCCATTTAGGGAACTGGGGTAAAAATCTGTCTGGGGATTGGTCCTGCTTTGAGCAGGGGTTTGGACTAGATGATCTCTTGAGGTCCCTTCTAACCCTAATATTCTATGATTCTTTGTAACAGCCCTTAACATAGTTGAAGACTGTTATCAGCTCCCACCTCAGTCTTCTTTTCTCAAGAATCTTGGGGAGAACTGTTAGGTCATCTAGTCCCTCTCCTTTTCTCTGATGCACAGTTGTTCCTTACTGAATATATATGTTAGTGCTTCATCATCTGTCCAGTTGAGATTTTAATGACCCAAGCCGTGAGCTTCCACCAGTTCCCTTGGAAAATTATTGCACACTAGACTTCAAATAACATTGGCAGCACCTTTGTGCTGCACAAATTGGCAGCACCACCTGCTGCACAAATAATAAATCGGTTGGTAATGAGTGGGCTGAGGGGCATAAACAACAGTTCATATTTTATAAAGCTAGTTACTGGAAAATTAACATTTATTCTCCTTTTCCTCCTTGACTTTAACCCACTTCCATTTTGTGAGTGTAACACTGGTGCTTAATTATAGTGACACCCGTTTGCAGTACCAGACTGCATCACTGTGTCCCTGTGGGGTCCTTCTAATGCCAGTATAATATGAAAGTGTCAGGCAGGCGGTCTGTGTATTATAAATAGGGTACTTCATCCATGATAAGCGATTATTATCTTTCTTTCCCAAGTGGAAAAGACCTATATAACTCAGGAAAGTGCGAGTGATTTAGCCCTCCTGAGTAAGAATCCAATGAGTCCTGAAGGGGACCCTACCTATGCCGTTATCTTGTTGTTCAACTTGAGATATTCAATTTATTATACGGGAATATATTTTCAGAAGTCAACGCTGGATAAAATAATGTTAGAGGCTGTTAGGCCAACAGTACAGCACAATTTAGTGTCCCTCTGTGATGGCCTTCTAAAAACCTTAATCACCTTTGGTAAAGAAGAAAACCACTGTTAAAGTTCACTGCCGTTTATGAGCAAAAGGTGTTATATTCTTGAATTATTTCAATTATTGAAAAAAAATCTGGATTTTTCCCCATTCTGTTTTGTGCAGTTTTGTGGTGGTATTGTTGTAGTTTAAGGTCCTAAATGCTGCAAACGCTTATACCATGCTTAATTTTAAGCATCCGAATAGTTCCATTGATTTGAATGGATATGCTTAACTTTACGTGTTTGAAGGATAGATGTGTAAAATTTTGACAGTGTTTCCACTGTTAGACATGCTTTTAAAGAAATTATAGCTAGGAAAAAAATTCTTCAGAATATGGGCTTTAAACCAGAGAAATCCCTAGAGGCTTAATTCTTATTTTGGCTAAGGATGCATCACCTCATATGGTATCTTGGAAAATTTGCTACTGTGTTTGCATTCGGTGTAGATAAATAAATAATAATGAATATTACTTAGCACTTACATAGTTTAAATTCATGAATATCAAAGCACTTTACAAAGGCAGTTAAGTAGCATTATCCCCATTTTACAACAGAGAAACAGATTCAAAGAGAGTTTAATTGAATCTGTGCGTGAGGGGACAGAACAGAGACATACTTACGCACTATGAAAGCAAAAGCAAAAGACTTTAAATATGTTTGTATTATTCACAGAATGGCCAGCAGTCCTGGAAGTAATGCATCCCTCTCCCGTGAGAAAACCATACTCTCAGAAAATTGTCAAGCAAAGAAATCGCAGTATTCTGAAGAGGAGACTTTTTATATGAACTGCAGAGCAGCCTACCTAGCTGTTTTTAAAAGCAGCTTAGAAAATATTAAATCAAAAGAACAACTCTGTTTAGGTAATGAGTAGGAGATAATTTTCTTTACTTGAATTTTGTGTGTGAAGATTACAGTAGTTGATTTTCAAACCAACAGCCAGCATTTCACTGGTGGAAATACCCCAGCGCGTAATGGAGCTTGGTCACAATAGCTTCTTTTAAGGATTCAGGCAGTTCTTGGTGGGGTTTGGGTTTTCAAGCATCAGTGGCTGTATCTATAAAGACACTTCCAAGGTTTATACCTATTATAAAATATATCATAGTTTTTCAAATAGTTTACAGAAAGTACTTTATCTCAATAGTTTTCATTTCCCTCAAATTCCTAATCTATATTACTAGGTATTGGATGGTTCATGGAAGTGGGAACGATATACAGAGCTTTTCACCTCTAAATCACCACTCTGAATGAGCAAAAGTCAATACCACCTATCAGCTATTGGGGGGCCTAAGTGAGTTATTTAACAGCAGCACATTTGATGGTGGCATCGTTGCCTACTTGAGGTGGGCCTGGATACTGCTCTGTGGTGGTGACATTTTGCAATAAAGTGTTTTCCTCTCTCTGACAAGTGATAAATTACAATGAGTTATTCTCAGTTCAGTTTCTAGTGGACAAGTGTCCCTAGCACAGAAAATCACCATGGCAACTGGCATTAATTGGCACAGTGGTTTGCAGTCTCATCAGAAAAGTTGTTAAATGAGAAATGGAGATTGACCTACCCTTTCACCCCGAGTCATGGTCCCCCAGATCAGGGTTGAGAAACACTGACTATGTGGTATGTGAAAATCTTTCCCTGCCTATGCTGAATGTGTTTTGTGCATAAATGGATGACTTCAGTGTTTCATAAGAACTACGTACATTATTTTTTTAAAAATATAAATGTACCTTAAGTTAAAGCACTTCTCAATTTCCTAAATTTCAAGCCAGATGTTTTATTCTTTTATCAATATTATTTTGGGCTGTCGATTAATCGCAGTTAACTCACGCGATTAAGTAAAAAAAATTAAATGCAATTAAAAAAATTAATCGTGATTAATCGCATATTTAATCGCACTGTTAAACAATAGAATACCAATTGAAATTTATTAAATATTTTGGATGTTTTTCTACATTTTCATATGTATTGTATTCTGTGTTGTAATTGAAATCAAAGTGTATACTATTTTTTATTACAAATATTTGCACTGTAAAAATAACAAACAAAAGAAATAGTATTTTTCAATTA